AAAGTTGAATGTGAATCTACACATTGTGTTGAATTCAGTATGAATCACAAGAGCACCTTAATGGGGCACAAAAGCGGTCGTTTTCCCATGCACCTGAAGGGGCATACTTGCCCACATATGACGTAAAAGAGGGTGTAAATACTAATCAAGACGTCGCGTCATCATTGTTTTTTACTGCCAATGTGCTATCATATCACGAAGATAGCTGCATAAATTCTTATTTTAAGACGAATAATAAATTCAGTGAGAGAGGTTCTCACATCGTACAGTGACAACCTCTCCAACATCGAGAAAAGCAAACGCAGTCTCTGCAAACTTGCTGAAAAACGACGTAATCATATGTGACGTCATAATCACACTTATGACGTCAATAGGCTGCATTAATGACAAAGAAGAGATATAGTCAGTAAAAGTTATGAACTGATAACAGAGCACATGGTGAGGTCAGACGGCTACACAAACCAATGGTCACGCTACTTTTTGGTGTCGGTGAAGATGAAAGCGCCCAAGCCGTTCACAAACAAACGTTTATCAATGGTCTCTTTCAGAAATAACGATAAGTGTTCACACTTTATCTGCATATCGCATTCTCAGTGGCTTTAAACTGTCAACTCCTCCATCCAAATGTGTCTTTGTAGTAAGATTATTTACGTGATACTATGATATGTAAAGTTCATATATGCTATAAAATGAAGCCAATTGCACAGGCGCTCGCCACTCTTCTCGTGTCTTGTTTGTTAAAAACGCCGTCCGCTTTAAACATGAAAGCGCATAAACACCATTAATTTCAATACACTTCATAAATCAAGTTGTGAGCGATACACCATACCCTTTATATTACTTATTCACAACAAAAATATTTACTTCTCTTTTGTAATATTTTATATTTGAAACTGATATAGATAAACATGCATGTTTACAACCTCAGGGAGACGATCATCTGATCATCAGATAAATATGAACGCAGTGTATATCCTGCGGTGAATAAATTTATGTTCGTTTATATATATATATATATATATATATATATATATATATATATATATATATATATATATATATATATATATATATATATTTTTTTTTTTTTTCCTAACACTATGTATATGTTATATGCGATGACTGAGCAGGTGTTTTATGTTCAATAAAGTGGCCATAATGGGTGACCGCTGTGCAGGTCCACGTCAACTAGGTGGTCATCCCTGAGATCTGTATCAGGCTGGATTGAAGGGTGGTCAGTGTCGTTATTACTGGACGTGGATTTCACTGGAAAATGACTCACTCCTCTCTCTTTTCTCTCTCTCTCTCTCTCTCTCTCTCTCTCTCTCTCTCTCTCACACACACACACACACACACACACACACACACACACACACACACACAGTTGAAGTCATTTTACATTAGGTGCACTGTTTTGTAAAGTACACACAATGGCTTGGACTTAGGACGTTTTCGTTCTCAAAGGTAATGCAGAAATCGGGAAGACCCCCACCCATCCTACGCTCTTTCGGGTCGTTTTAAACTAAATGTCACTTCTGTTTTTCCTTTCATTTTTATTCCTTTTATGTATTTGTATAGCTATTGACCAAGTTTTTGTTTCCAAGTTATTACATCGTAAATGTGGTCTAATTCATTCCCTTACTTTTCTTTGATCAACGTTGAGTTCCAATAATAAAGTTGTAAATGTTACGATTTAACCCCTAGTCGGCGTTAACAACCACTGTAACGGGGATTGAGATGATGACTGCGTTAAAAAAACTTTTTGAGGTCGAGTTTTTGGCGAAAAAATACGTCCTTACGGGGAATTTGATGGACCTTTCAGTACTGTCTCTTTTAGGTATTCTGAAAGGGGTTTTCGCGCCAAATTTATTTTTCCTAAAGCGAAAAAGTAGTTTCCTTTTACTCTGAAACTTTGCTCGACCCGACCTTGCGCTTATATTTGATGTTGTGTAATATTTCAAATTTTATTCAAAATGATTTCGCTCTAAACTCATTTATACCGCCATGTTTTCCTGGTATTTCAGAAGGAAATATTGAGATGGCATACTTTTATCTGACGTAATTTAGGAAAGATAAGACGTTAAAAAATATGAATTAGGGCCACTGTCAAATGCACCTAGCACATCTTTAATATGCAGTGTCAGTTGTATTTTATTATTTGATTCTAACCAATATATATCTTATCGTTTTTCCTATTTTTTCGAATCAAAATTCGAACTTTGATCGTCCCCACACAATGTACCATTCAATTATAATAAGTACATTATACCGTATTTCTCATGACATAAAAATCATTTTGCTCGTTTTGATCACATCATTTCTAAATTGTATTGGTTATTAAGCACAGATCTAAGACAAGTTGCTCTGAACACAAATAATTCGCCTAAATATACTGTCAGTTAGAGGTATTGCACTGCAGCATAGGAATTTCACCACATTTAGAAAAATTCTACCTGAGGGCTTGAGCTGTTTCATGAGCCTAAAAAAATGTCAATGAATTCACAGCCATGTTGATTTAAGAAACTGTGCAAATTGTTTGTCTCCAGTGAATCACGCTGCTGATGATTCTGATAAATATCCACGCTGTAGACACTGCAATGCACAGCCACTATACAAACGTGACTCTTTGACTGCCGCTCACTGGAGCGTACGTAACTCGGAGGTGTGGGAATAACAAGATCCTCAGAGAGATGAACATCTTTTCTTTTTGTTCGTGATCTATGCACGAACATTATGGCAAAGTACGTGACTCACAAGGCACGGTTGAGCACTATCTTGTTCTTTCTACTTCTCGAAGAGTTTTTGTGCACAGCACATTGAAACAACAGATCTACTTCCTATTTCTTTACATGCGTGTTTTTTAAGAGACAATTAAACAACCATGCATAACTTACAAGGTATCAGGAAGGGTTATTTTCCTGTTTCATCAAATGAAGGGGCTGGTAGAATATTGAAGTTCAGACAAAATCGTTTTAACGCAATTCCGCCTGTCTTAGCGCAAATGCTAACAATGATTTCACACTCTTACTGAATTCACTTCAGTTATTAAACATAAACATCACAGAACCATGGCAGTAGGAAAACTAATTGATTTAAAACGTATCAAAGAAATAATTTTGGAGCGGTTGGAGTGGTTTCAGGGACGGTCAGGGGTCCGTTGCCCCCCAAAATTCATTATAACGAAAATATCTTTTCATAGCGATAATCTAAGGTAAATATACTGTGGGCTCATGAAACGTGACTTTCATGGAAGAAAGCCCTCATGCATGACAATGTAACGGTAATTGTTTTGCGATGAATATTCATACACAAATTATTGCTCCAGGCGCGCGCATGTTATCTTTTTCTTCCCTTCATATGATATCAGACAAGGAAAGATAAGTACAGTGGCATTCATTGCGATCCTTTATGCTTTACCAGGATGTTGAAACGGAAATTATTGAATTTCTTTACTAGGGAAATAATTCCCCTTTGGCGCTTGGAAAGTGTTCTGTTGACTGTTAGCAGATAAAGGGTTTTTAATGCTCTCTCTCTCTCTTTCTCTCTCTCTCTCTCAGTGTATATATGTGGGGGGGGGGGGGGTAGGAAAAATTATTCTCTTTTCAATAGATTAATAGACTGTGAAGCCAATGATTTTATAATGTGGTGAAACAGTACAAAAAGGTCTCCATTAGAATGAGGGGTGAAAACCCAGAATGTGAGCAGCAGCGACTGAGCACGTCCACATTGGACTTTATACGTTAAATACAGGGGCAACAGTAGGAAACATTACTAGTGCTCGTTCAGAATAATGCCAGTGGCAGAAATAAAACTCTCTTTTTGTACTACCATCATTTTTATAGTATGACACGGTTAAATTTCAGTACGTCTATTATGTCTCTGTCATAGGTAGTGTTGTCGTGTCATCCGCGTCCTAAAACCCCGTTCAGGTAACAAAGACACGGATGGTTAGTCATTTGCCACATTGAAGGCTGTGACTTCACCTGAGAGAGAGAGAGAGAGAGAGAGAGAGGAGGGAAAGAGCGAGAGAGAGAAAGAGAGCCTATACTGACGATATCAGCACAATCATTCACTGCCATTCCATACTTTCTCACTTTAAATTACTGTATTACAAACACAAACAAGCGCACGCACACGCACGCACACACACACACACACACACACGGTAAAACACACTAAAACCCAGCTTAAAACAAACAAAACAGACTTCTTTCCATTTTTAATGGGAGTCTTAATTAAGCCCCTACAAACTGACACACATCATACAGATTCACAGGTAATACCACACCAAGCATCTCTCTCTCACGTCACGGCATACCAATTAACTCACATAATCCTATATCCCATCTGCCTATCTATTTATAGCTCAACATAAAGAATCTCCCAACAGAGAACACACACTGGTATCGGAGTGACGTTGATTATCGAACCTTTCCTTAAAAATCATTTCACATATATATATTACGCATATTATTTCACATATATATTTGTATATATATGATCTAAGCCACTCTCCCTAGCTTGGATATTAACGCAGTGAACAAAACCTTGACTGACAAGGATTCCCATCTCCCACCTAGACTTAATACTGATAAAGGTATTACACAATGCAAGAGCTGTATCTAGGCATCTTACAATCAATGTAATGTATATCTCGGGTGGGAGGGAGTGTTGGAGCAGCCAGAGAAGCAGCTTCAGCAGAATAGATTACATTTACGAGGTAAACAGACGAGGAATGTTCACGGGTTATTCAGGATGGGTTCTGGCCCAGTTAGATTTTCCACATATAAAACCCACGGCTTCTGTATGCCTATACGCTTTGGGAATAACCTACCTTGATTTAAAATAACCATTATATTTAACTAATGCTTTAAATGGGAGACCGTATAACATTAAGGGGTTATTCGGAACGCTCTGTTCGGTGTTAACGAGAGGTTAACGAGAGCAGTGGCTTAATTAATCGCATGTGATATACTTCTCGAGAGAAAAACACTACGTACCGGCTGGTAGTACTCCTCTGAGGCAGATGTCATAATGGCGATCCCCTGTATTCCTGATCATAGCTCCTCCCCATCCCTGTTTCACTCGGGGTCGGTGTGTACACCCCCACACCGCTGCTACAGCTGACTTAGGGGTATCCGTAGTCTAGCCGCTACGTTTCCATTATAACTCCACGTTAACCATGTGTCAGGGACTCTCCGATCCTTAAAGCTCCGTAATATTTAGCGATATCCTCCGCTCCTGCGTTCTCCTAGGTAAATCCGTTGATTTGGGGTTGTTTTTGAGAGACCCAAGGCTTACCCAGTACACGGTGTGGACATAGTTTCCATGTTAAGTGAACATATTTAATAAAATCGGTGTGCCTCTCTTTAAAAATAGGTCAAACGCATATAAAGGTTTCGCCCACGCTCAGTCAGAATTTTGGGGAGAGAGATACATTCTACCTTCTTTTACAATTCCTGCTACATTTTTGTCTAATTGTTTGTTTCAATATTTTATATAAGAGTATTTTCTATCATAAATAAAAGAATTATGCCTATGAAATATCCTAATTGAAACATATCTTTATCATAAAAGAAAGCCCTCTGTCTCTCCCGAAAATTAGCGCGGACCAATGATTATGGCTTACATGTACGTATGTTAATGTCGAGCTGTGATTGGTCAATTTTGACCTTAAATTCAACTCCACCCAAACTTCCATTCTTTAGCTGCCTTGATTCCCGTGAGCATCGATAAATAAAACTGTGTGCGTTTGTATATCATTGACGTTTTGATAGAACGCACGGTGAGAGTACACGACTCCAAGCTGCGTTTACTATTGGTTTTTTGGGCGTTAAAACGTCAAGGCATATATTAATCAATGCGTTAAAATGCATCCCAGGCTAGTCAGGTTAGGCCAGACGAATAGAATCTGTGGGTTCACGAGCGACGACTCTGTTATATAAATAGGATAAAATATCGATTTGGCTGGTCGTTATTTTATTTTAATATTTTTTGTTATGTATTGTACTTGCATACATTGTATCTGTATACATACAGTTATTTATTTATTTATTTATTTATTTATTTATTTTTTATTTTTTTTTTGGGGGGGGGGATGGATAATAAAAACAGCCTAAAGGATTTTCCTGGGGTCAGTTCAAATCTCACATTTACTAAATCAATATACCAAATGGATTTCCCTCTGTGAGAAAAGTGATGTGCTTAAAACCATCAAAAAAAAAAAAAAAAAAAAGGGTATAGACTGAATTCGTTCAGCAACTTGTCAGTTCAGTCTGGACCAACAGTGGTTTTTCATTCGGTCATGGACACCTTCGATTTTTTTCAATTACTTGATGCGATACATTCATTTTTCCTGAATCTTTTTTCTACTTCGTCTTCTTTTTCGTTATTTTCATTAATCCATTCATTTATTCATCCATTCATTTATACATTCATGCCTTCATTCTTCATCATTACTATCCAGAATTATTCCCCCTCTTCCTCTCTCTATCTCTCCTCCCCCCTCCTCTCTTAGTTTTCTTCTTCTTCTTCGCTAATTTCTTCGTCTTCTAAATAACCATTTATCGCACATCTAATTTTTTGTAGTAGACAGAAGGTATGCATAAAAACAACGTCAATACTAGTACGTATTGAATGTCAACAGGATGTTTACGAACATTTTTCTACGAGTAGTTTTGAAATTCTCTAACCTGTTTACTTCCAAGAGATATACGGGCTCATAAACGTATCAGACAACAACCAAAAGCTATCACATTAGCTGTGCACTGCATGTGCAAGTTCCATTTCCAGAAACCCACGGAGATCTTTAGTAGGGGAGGAGAATGGGGGGGGGGGGTTAATCATCAAAGTTACCTACATACAATGCAGACAAAGAAAACGTCATGCCCCGCCCACCTAAGCACTAGGGTCTTTTGCACGGTTTGTGTGTTTTCTATAGCCGCTTCAATTAACTTAGCTCCCAATGTTAGGTCTGTTGATATGATAATCACGAAGTCATTTGTTAAAGAGCACTTTAATTCTATCACGGTAGATCAAGCGTTAATACGGACGCCGCCCTGTACACAAATAAAAATGAGTTGCTTCTGTATTCATGGACAGGTGTAAATGCGAGGAGTTTTTTTTTTTTTTCCACATTTATCAAGCAGGAGGTTGGGTAATTCGAGCTGGGCGTTTTTTGCGAGGATATCACGGCCAACGGCAATTTTGTGAAATATGAATACTAAATCCATTGATGTTCGCCGCTATAGGAAAACGGGGCATTTCACTAAAGGTGCCAACAATTAAATAGGCCTTTGACGAGAAAAAAGACTGAAAGAACGTGAATCATTGATGCGGGAAACAACGTAAATCTCTCTCTCTCTCTCTCTCTCTCTCTCTCTCTCTCTCTCTCATACACACACACACAGACACACATAAACATGCACGCACACACATATACACCCACACACATACACATGTACATACACACACACACACACACACACACACAAACACACACACACATACTGACTTCATTATCATATTTTCATTTCGTCGCACAGACATACAAAAGAGTCAGCAATAAATGCTCGTGTGACAGTAGCAGAAATGCCAATAATCCTTCTCTTTAATTTCCTCGACGCCCATTAGCTCCCTCTTTATCAAAGTAAATTATCGCCGTGATACCATCCCTAGCGACAGCGTTCGTGACTTTAATCAATAAACCGACGAACAGGATTATTTCTCGGGGAACGGCACGGGAATTTTCAGGACTGTGGACTGTTTACACGAAAGCTAATTTCGAACAGGAATGGATCAAAAACACGTTACCCGATGACTAAATTGATACGTTCTAGGGATCTTAATTAATTACAATACAATACAATACAATACAATACAATACAATACAATGCACTACAGCATTTCAATCTTATCACCAGCTTCTGCAATGTAATGACTGTTTACCCCTGCAAATAAACTTATTCCTAGACATAAACAACGAATTGTATTATTGTCCTCAACACAACGGAGTGTACGAAAGTGGGCGTGGCTGCAAGACATCGTTGATTGCAATCAATCGGCCACAGGTGAGTGTCTTACTGAGTCTTAGAGGTCAATGGAAGACCATGTCCACACCATCAGCATGCCACAGACGTTAAGAGTTATTATAATCACTGTGTTTAATGGATCTAATTGAGTCTAAGGCTTCGTTCACATGCAATGTCTATTTTCTAAAAATCTATTTTCTATTCGCGCTATCTTATGATCACGGTCTGTGCCCTGAATATCCCGCCGCGTAATTACTGGCAGCGCGAGCCAGTTACTTATAGTAACTTATAGTAACTGGCTCGCGCTGCCAGTAATTACGCCGCGGGATATTCAGGGCACAGACCGTGATCACAACACATGCCGCGAATAGAAAATAGAATTTAGAAAATAGACATTGCATGTGAACGAAGCCTAACTGGCATCCATATGGATACATTTGTGAAAAATATTCAATAAGATATTTCATTAGCTGATCTATATAGATTCAATTTGATGTGATGTTCACGTCATAAACACGCTGTTATTGAAGAAACCCAGGGTGCTACTGGAAAAGTCAGGCATTTCCTGATATTATACAGAAATGAACTCTTAAAACCAGGGTGTTGACTAGAATATTAAACGTCCTAAAGTTTATCGCTAAATCTTTCGTATCGTGGGTGGAGGCAGTCCTAATTTCTCGCCTTGCGTGAGGAAGCATACTGGATTTACTGATCCCGCGATATCCGTATTTATTGTGTTTATATCTGAAGGTGCTGTGTGCGTGTGTGAGCGCGTGCGTGCGTGCATGAGTGTGCGTGTGTGGTTTTTATCACTAATTTGATTTTTAGAGTTTGAGACCCAATATACCCTTTACTCGGGTTTTTTTGTTTATCATTTCAGTTTATTTCATTCTATGTGCATTTATATTTCTTTTTTTTTTTTTTTTTTTTGTGATTCCATTTTACTTCATCATAATTCTATTACTATTATTTATTCATTTATCTTGAAATAGACACCACTTTCGAATTTTGAAGATTTTTTTAAAGACTGATTTCAGGGAAGCAAGTAAGCTTAGGGGTATCCCCCCCCCCCCCCTCCCCGTCCCGTTTCGTTCATGGAAACACGGTTTGTACTTGCATATACCTATGCGACTGGAACATTTGTCTTTGCACTAAACCAAAATCATCGTGCTGAACTATTTTCGTTAAAGGTCTACAAACACAGCCGGCCCTTTGTATAAATATTTTATATTTGTGATGCCCCTTGTCCGTTCTAACTCGGATGCAGCTGGCGGGTTTATTTAGAGGGTGGGGCGACATTTAGACTTACGAAGACCAAATGCGCCCTTTTCACCCTATCTCTTTCATTCAGTTATCCGAGCTGCGAATAATTTTTTCTCGCACGTGTTAAAGGGGGAGAAGGCGGTTTTTCTATTTTAGAGAGAGAGAAATGATTTAGTAGCATCGTATGTTGTGCATATGCCATATATATTTATGATAATTGCTTACACTTGTTTACAACGGCTTAAGTGGAACGTCTTACAAAGATATATCAATAGATAAGCTGAAATTTTGATATAATAATGGTCTAATTCTCCACTGACATAGAATTTATGCAAGATATCATGATAAGATGAGACGGATATATGTGCGAGAATTTTCAATTCCCTTCTGAAATATATGCTTTTAATGTTTTTATTTTTTCGAAAATGAACTAGAGTCTCTGCAGAGAGAATGAAATCGCAGGCTGCCCTGGGTCTTTTAAAATCTGGAGAGCGCTTGTGGATACACCGTTTTAAATAACTGGGAACGGTAAAGTTTACATTTTGCTTTTAGAAGGGGTATCCAAAATGTTATCAAAATTATCTTTTTGCATAGGTGATCTAACATTGATCACTGAATAAAATTAATTTTAAATTGGTATTAAAATAGTATAAGTAGGCCTAATTCAACTAAGTCTTGCAATTGACTCAGGTTATAAATTCATTTTAAATAATGTCTTTCTGTTTAAACTGTTTAAAATGACTTTCAACTAATCACGATTTATTAACTGGTTAAGAAGGACTGTTGCATTGAAATTCCTTCAGCCTATGTGTAACACAAGCCCAGAATTTAAATATTGACATTTCTCTTGCTCATCGGCAAACGTTGTGTACATTTCTGATGCAATTTGACCGGTTGAGACCGTCATTGCTTCCGAGTGACTCATTTCTTCTCTGACGCAATGTCAGCAATTCAAAGGAGACGTTGCATCAAACTCCCTTTTTGTATTGAGATTCACCGCTTCGCTTCGTCATTTGATCAACTTTATGAGAAACGACACATGCCCCTTGTATTCGAACGCTACTGTTCCAAAGGATTCAGACTAAATAGGGATAGGATTG